AGATAATGAGGAGCTTTGGATATTGAGCCTTCGGGGAAAAATAGCCTGACATCTGTTAAGAGCCCTTACCCTGTGAGAAGGTAGAGCACATGACCTTTTTCCCAGAGGTGACCCGTTTTGCACAGAAACCTAGTGGTTTACACAGAACCTCAGTCTTTTCAGAGGATAGAACTTTTGTCTTCTACATCCAGAGCAGATGTCAGCATCATTCCTCAGCGATGCCAGCCAGGTAACTAAGCCCTGTAGTTAACACTTGGAAAGGATGGCAGGTTTTAACTACAGGTATGTATAGGAGACAGGTGCACAGTAAAAGAGTACATGCAGGACATGATTGAGTCAATACTCCTATTAGAATATGTTTTGTTTTGTTTTGTTTTTCTGTCTATCAATTTACTTATATCTTTGTAAAACTTCTCACTTAGCTAGTTTCTTGCTCTATCTCTAAAATCACAAAAATGTTTGGTCTAACCCTTGTCAAACATGATCAATGTGACAAAATTCTCTGACATTTACTTGCATTTTCTGATTGTGGTGGTAAAATGAGATTTTCCAGATTCATCATATCTTCTTGATTCTTAGTATATATCTGAATTATCTCTGCTACCTGGCTCTGATCTCTGGGGAAGAAACTGGAGTCCCAGATTGTTTCAACAGGACATCTGCTAAGTCTACCTATGTCTATACTCAAAAAAATGACTAAATATTTTAAATAAGCATAAAAGCACAAATGGTATAATAAAAATTAAATGATTCTATCCTCTTCTTTTCCAGAATAAATACTGGTTGACACTGCATAATAAGCTTTAGGGCTTTTTCTTCTCTTTTTAAAAACAAACAAATAATATTAATAAAGAAGGTAATTATTTTATCATCAACTGAATTTCTCTTCTTCCTTCCTGAAGATAATATCTATCTCCTGTGGTGATACTGAAGCTGGTGGTGCTGGTACCACACATTTGATTGTCTTGTCATCTCATCTGTCCATCAGGTTCATCAATATAGAGCTTGGAAACCAAACAGATGCTTCAAAATGGATTCTCCTGGGATTGACAGAGGATCCAGAACTGCAGTCCCTGATCTTTAGCCTGTTCTTCATCATATACCTGGCCACTGTCCTTGGAAACATGCTCATTATCCTGGCTGTCAGCTGTGACTCACACCTGCACACACCTATGTACTTCTTTCTCTCCAATCTGTCCTTTACTGATATCTGTTTGAGCACAACCACCATCCCAAAGATGCTGGTGAACATCCAGACACAGAATCAGAGCATCACTTACACAGGCTGCCTCAACCAGATATTCTTTGTCCTGGTTTTTACTGGTTTTGAAAATTTTCTTCTAGCAGCAATGGCCTATGACCGCTATGTGGCCATTTGTCACCCACTGATGTACACGGTCATCATGAACCACTACTTCTGTGGCCTGCTAATTCTACTTTCTTTGTTCATTAGCGTGGTGGTTGCCCTAATCCACAGTCTGATGGTTTTCAATCTGTCTTTCTGTATGAACCCGAAAATCCCTCAGTTCTTCTGTGACCTTGCTCAGATCCTCAAGCTTGCCTGTTCCAGTACCCTCATCAACAACATCCTGATATATGTTTTGGCTTGCATATTAGCTGGTGTTCCTCTTTCTGGAATCATATTCTCTTATACTAGGATTATCTCCTCTGTTTTGAGAATAGCATCAACTAGTGGAAAGTATAAAGCTTTTTCCACATGTGGGTCACACCTCTCAGTTGTTTCTTTATTCTATGGGACGTCTTTTGGTGTGTATATCAGTTCTTTGTTTACAAACTCTTCCAGAAAGACAGCAATAGCCTCAGTGATGTACCTTGTTGTCCCTCAAATAATGAATCCTTTTATCTACAGCCTAAGAAATAGAGACATCAAGATAAGCTTGAAAAAACGAATTGAAAAGATGTTTTTTTTTAGATTGTGTTATCTTTCAGAATTCACTAATTATTAAGACTTGGCATTGTTAATCTTTGCCTGTATTTCAGCAACAGCATCAATCATACTCATTTCCATTATTTATGAAATGGCAATGTTGTATTTTCTCAATTATATTTGGTGTTTATAAGATATTTGAGCATTGTCAGTGAAGAAAGCTTCAGTAATAATACAAGAATCTTAGATACTGATAGTCTCAAAAATAAACATCTTTCATTGGAAGGACTTTGTACAAAGATAATGTACAGAAACACAACACTAGTCCTGTGTGTGATGGCTTCATCCTAGACCTAATTTCCTTCATGGTCTCAAGATTGCAGTAGCATATGGAAATATAATATTACACATAATATCCAAAGAGAGATAGCATTGTCTTTCCTGAGCGTATTGTAAAAAGATTTCTTGATGGACACATCAGAAGATATGCCTCCTGTAGTGGTTTAGGTGGTGCTTCTAGAATTGTATTTTCATGTCTCAATTTTTGATACCTATGAATATTACTCATATGATAAAAGGTAAAATATTACCTTACTTGTAAAGTGGGTCTTTCCATAGAAGTTTACACCTGGAGTATCCTAGCATCCTAATTGCAATTACATTCTTATAATATAGACAAAGCAAACTCACAGAGAAGCTCTGGTAGTGTAGTGGTTACGAATCAGGCTGCAAACCGCAAGGTCAGCAGTTCGAAACTACCAGCTGTTCCGCAGGAGAAAGATGAGGCTTTCTGCTCCTGTAAAGATTTACATCCTCGGAAACCCTGTACAGGGTCGCTATGAGTTGAAACCGACTTCACGGCACATAAAAACAGCATCCTAGCATCCTAACTGCAATTACATTCTTATAATATAGACAAAGCAAAAGGCACAGAAAACTCTTGGAGGCAATAAAACACCAAAGGGAAACACTGAGAACATAAATTCACAGGCCAAGAAAACTCTGGAGTCACTATATTCTTCATAAAGCTGGAGGAGGTAATGAATGCATTCTTTGCTCAAAGACTTCTAAAGTAGTACATTCCTGTTGATGCCTTGGTTTCTGACGTATGATCTTCAGAACTATGAAATAATAAATTTCTCCTTTAACACAACCAAGTTTTGTTGTTGCTTTTAGCGGCAGCCAAAAGAAAACACTGCTCTTTCCCTTCACCAATGAAAGTAGAATAATATAGCCCACCACAACCTTTTTAAATGCTTTTTTTTAAATTGTGAATTTAGTGAAGTTATAGTGAGCACCTCATCAGTTTTGCATTCAACAAATCATACAGTTCATTTCATCTCAATTATTGTAATTCCCTCTTCACTTGGTTTCTTGTTGACATTTTCCTTCTTTCCCAAGACTTTGGATTTTATCCTGAGGTAAAAGCTGCCCTTTTGATCTTAGTGATTATCCATTACAAGGGGTGTGTGTCTCACTAGTCTTGTTGCCCCACCCTATGTATCCATATATTATTGGGGTAGAAATTGAGCCATGAGGGTGAGTTCAAATTTAGACCTGAAGGGAAATCAGGTGCCATCAAATTCTTCTCATCTCAGAGTCATGGCGACTGATGTCCATATGGTCCATTAATCCATGGGGCTAATTGTTTCCTAGTGTCTTCAATTTTCATCACTCTTCTTTCCTTTGGACAGGGAGAGACCACTAGTTGTATCTTAGATGGCTGCTCATGAGCTTTTAGCCTCCCAGCTTCTACTCACCAAAGAAGGATGTAGACCATTGTCTTTTTGAACTATGCATATAACCCTTTTTAATCTTAAACAGACCATCATAGTTATAATTTCATTGGGAAGTAAACTGTCTTCACTGCAAATACTTAGTACATGCCTGCTACATAATAAATATCAGTGTTGGTAGCACAGTGGCTCTGTAGGATAAGTTCTGGTCTGTACAAGGTCAGTGATTTGAGACCACCAGATTATCCATAGGAGAAAGATGCAGCTTTCTGTTCCTGCAAAGTTTTACAACCTCAGAAACCTTACACAAGGTTGCTATGAGTCAAAACTGACTGGACAGCACTTAACAACAACAACAGTATCATTGTGCTTCATTTTGTTCTATGCCAATATTACTAATTAAAGCAATCCTTTTGGTCTCACATAATTTTGCACTTAGATAAGCAATCATATTTGCTTGCTTTTATTTTAACATCTATCACAGACAACAGTTTAATTATACAGTTAAATGAATAACCATGCGTAAACAGTACAAGTTGGTAATCTTTTTGGACACATTATTATTCTTGATTTATTAAAAAAAAATAGATGTGAATTTCACATTTCTCTTCAATCACCTACTTTTGCTGTACTTCTTACTGTTCTCTGGCAGAGTCTACACAAAGACACGTAGTGGAGTAAAATTAATTGAATTGTTGGAATCTTAGATTATTGTCTATAGTCTTAGTCCTCTCACTGAAAGTTTTTCCAATGTCTCTTTAAGAGGGATTTTTTTCTATGAATAAGGACTTTATTTTGCAGAGAACATATGGAAAGGTAAGCAGGAAGGAGAAAATGTCAATTGGTAGATTAGGGAGATGACTTTTCCCACAAGTACATAAAAGGTACAGTATATGCCAGAATATTGTCTGTAAGTGTGAAGGTGACAACAAAGAGAATGCTGGAAAAGTTCATCAAAGGGAGCAGAAAAGAACATGGAGATACCAAAACTCTCATCCACTGATGATGGGATTTTAAAATAGGAGCAAACTGTATGACACTTTCTTAAAAATAGAAATAGAATCACCATATTATCTAGCAATCCCACTACTGGGTTTATACCCTACAGAGACAAAAAATGTCTTGACACAAACCTGTTAATTGCAGCACTATTTATAATACCAAAAAGATGAAGACAATCTAAAGGGCCATTAACAGATGAATGAATCAATAGACAAGGGTACATTCAGCAAATAAAATGCTACAGTTAAACGTGATAATTAAACTCATGTACCAACTTGGTAGAACCAGTATTCACAGAGGTTTGGATGTTAAGATGTAGACATCCACCATGATGAGATCTAATGTAATATAATCGTGACCATGATGAGATCTGTTAGACAACATCTATCAACTAACTGAAAAGGAGATCTCTTAGGGGAATGGCCTCATGCTAATACATTTGTACATTAGAGGAAGCTTGTTTGCTTCTTGCTCAGTGTAGATCCAGCATCTGATCATCATCTGACCTCTACTTCTTTGGACATGTGTCAGTGGTCTCTGTTATTGCCTACCTAAACTTGAAGTCCTCAGCAGCTTGCCATCTTTCCTAATGGTATCCAATCAATTTGCATCTGCAGACAGATACATGCCATATTTTCTGTTGGTCTTTGTATTGTAGTTAATGTAGGAACATTAGTCAGCAGAAGCATCCAGCCTCACATCTGACCCACATTTTTGTCATCAGCTTCCAAAACAATGTGAGCCATTTCCACATGATAAACCTCTCTGTATATGTTTTTGATATTAGGTACCATTGAATCAGTACTGACCCATAGTGACCCTACGCACAGCAGTACGAAACAATGCCTGATCCTGGGGCAACTTCACTACTGTTGGCACACTTGAGTCCATCGATACTACCAATTGGCTAATCCATCTCGTCAGGGGTCTTCCTTTTTTTCTCTGACCATCCACCTTACCAAACATGGTATCCTACTTCAGTGACTGGTCCTTCCAGAAAATATGGCTGAAGTTTGAGAGATGGAGTTTGGCCATCAAGGAGCACCCTGGCTGCACTTTTTCCAACACAGATTTATTGGTTCTTTTGGCAGCCTATGGCACTTTCAATATTCTCCTCCAACACCATATCTCAAAGTCATCAATTCTTCTATGGTCTTCCTTATTCACTGTCTGGCTTTTGCATATATATGGGGTTATTGAAAATACCATGGCTTGGATCAAGCACACCTGAGTGTTCAAGCTGACATCTTTGCATTTCAACATTTTAGAAAGTTCTTGTGAAGCAGATTACCCTAATGTAATACGTCGTCTGCTTTCTTGACTGCAGCTTCCATGAGAGTGGAGAGTTGATCAGGAGAATGAAGTCCTTGACAACTTAAATCTTTTCTCCATTGATAAGAATGTTGTTTATTGGTCCAGTGGTGAGATGTTTTTTTTTTCTTTATATTGAGATGTAATCCATACTGAAGATGGGCTCTTTGATCTCCATCAGTAAATGTTTTAAGTTCTCTTCACTTTTAGTAAGTGAAGTTGTATCATGTGTATATTGCAGGTTGTTTATGAGTCTTCCTCCAATCCTGATGCAATATTTTCTTCATATAACATGGCTTCTTTGCCAATTCCTTGGAGTTCCTCCGTAGGTATCATTGGCTCTTGATCATATGCTATGTCTTGAAATGGTTGAACATTAACCATTTCCTTTTGGTACAGTGACTCTGTGTATTTCTTCCATCTTCTCTTAATGTTTTCTGCATCATTCAATAATTTTCCCAGAGAATCTTTCAATAACAAAAGTTGAGGCTTGAGTTTTTTCTTGAGTTCCTCCAGCTTGAGAAATGCTGAATGTGTTCTTCCTTTTTGGTTTTCGAACTGCAGATCTTTGCACATTTTATTGCAATATTTGGCTTTATCTTCTCGAGCTGATCTTTGAAATGTTCTGTGCCGCTCTTGGACTTCCTCATATTTCCATTGGCTTTAGCAGCTCAGTCCTGGAGAGCAAGTTTCTCTGTCTATTCTGATATCCATTTTGACCTTTTCCTTTTTTCTTGTCTTTTCATTGACTTTTTGCTTTCTCCATGTATGATGTTCTTAATATTTTCCCACAACTCCTCTGGTCTTCAATTTTTACTGTTTAAAGTATCAAATCTGTACTTCAGAAGATCTCTAAATTCGGGTGGGAAATATTAGACGTCCTATTTTTGCTCTCATGGACTTGTTTTCATTTTCTTCAGCTTCAGTTTGAATTTGCATATGAGAAATGGATGGTTTGTTCCGCAGTCTGCCCCTGGCCTTGTTTTCACTGATGATATGGAACTTTTCCGTTGTCTCTTTCACAGAAGTA